ACTGAGGCAGCAATACGCCAGGCAACAGAAATAATGCAAACGATGCCGTCGTAAAAAAAGACTTAAAGCACGGTTTACGGTCAGGTATTCGAAGTTCGTGCATAAGTTTTCAAATTTGCAACCACTATATTTGCAGCCGTGAAACTTCTGCGCGCCTCAGTATGTCGCGCGCGGTTGTCAGGACCTATATTCGCACTGGCCCCGTGGTCGCCAGCCTGCTGTCATTCTCTCCGCAGTTTTTTACCTGCGCCTCTTAGGTACTTGCTCATCGCTTAAGCTACCTCATTTCACATTAATCGCTGACTTTAAGATAACGCTAAATGGTCGCATTCGTGTAAACGATTCTGCAATTTGTCACCGGCAAAGTCAACTAGTGTCACTAAAAAAGTGAAAAGCTGGCTGAACAGCGTTGATAATGATGCGCCAACTCTTGAAATCCAGTTGTTTTATGTGGGCTATCATTAAAACAAATTATCACAGATAGGGAGCAATAAAGAGTTAAAATTAAAATGAGAAAGATTTTCTATCAGAAACAGAGTTGATGTATTTTTAGCTTAGTTAAAACGGCTTAAAAGTTGATGTTTGACTTTGAAATCGACAAAACCGCGCATCTGCGAGTTTTTCTGTAATAACTGTCTGGAAGAAAACTAATAATATGACTGAGGCGACCTAATTAAGTTCCTCTATGTGACTGTTTAACGGTATGAACTTCTTCCTTCGCGCACCATTCCGGTCATCTTTACGTTTCCTTTCCTCAGCAGACTACTTTATCTCTTGCTCATTTGCGATCACACAACTTCTGCAACTTTCTTAGAAATTCGATGCACGCTATCTACTAGCTGGCAGTCATCACGAAACCTCTCCCACTGCGAGGTCCTTTTGAAGTTTAGCAGATTAACAGGATTAACAAACGTTGTGCCACATTGCAGTAGGCTTATGTCACGAGAAAAGGCAGACGTGTACATTTTGAATTAGAATAGTAAGCGTCTAATCGCAAGCGGCTTAAATATTCCCACTGATCAACCTGCTCCGAACTTATAAGAGGGCGTAGGCAACCCATTTTGATACCATACATTCAGTGATACCGTTTTGCTGCGTTTCTCGTCTGTTACCGCTGTAAAGCGTGAGTGAATTTAGCGTTTCAAAATGGACAACATGTCAGTATTTGCCTCTGCTTGCCGCAGGCTTTCCGATTCACCTACGACCGCTTTATTGATGCCATGAGGAGCAGTTATTACAGGTTAATTACGTTTGTTGGCTACAGGTAAGCGATGACGACCGGCGACTACGATTCGATAGAGCATTTCACTTCGTCTCATGAGATCATCAGTCGCGTGATCAACGTGCGTATTCGCTGTTCGATTTCGATCATGCAAGCGCACTAGAATCATCTTGCATTGCCGGATGGCCCAAATGCACATTTCGATTTTTGAGTTGAAAGACTTAATGATGATGCTAGTTCATTTATTTCAGGCACCAATACCGTAGCATATTGTTTCCGTAGATCGAAAGTTCAGAACATACTATATCGCTCACTTGGTACTCACAATCAGAATATGCGGGTGGGGGACTCGCAAGGTGGATCCTTTTCGCCAACCAACATGGAAGACAGCCAAGAGCAGAAGGAGGGACAGATCACTTAGGTATTTGAACGATGGGCGTTATCACGTTTACAAATCCAGTCCATGGAGCTGCCGTATTTGACAGAAAATGGGAACCACAAGGAAACTTCCCCGACGCTGCTGTTGCGGCTACCGAAAAGAAAACAACGGTGAAAGATGAACGGAATTTACAGTGGATCTGTTTTGCGTGCTCGCATGGCGGCTTAACTTATATAAGAGGAAAGACTACTCAAATTAGTTTATCGCTGTGGCTTTTATCCTTGAAAATCTGGATTATGCCTGTAGGCTGCAAAGAAATTTGACTGCAGAAGACTGGATACATTTCACAACAAAGGGGACGCAATGACATGCAATAGTGTGTGATTTTATTTCATAGAAAGCGATTTAGCGACGAAAACATGGAGCAAAACGAAACTGTATCTCCCAACTGTACTGATTTTAAGATCTCAGACAGCATCTATTTCACCGAATGGCTCCTTTTGAAACCATGCAACTTTAGAAATCAGGTGTCTTTTTCTAAATGTTGTCTCAGCCGCTGTGTACGGCTTAAACAACTAAGCAAATATAAGTTGGCAAATATAAATTAGCCTGAATGCTAATTGCTCGTCGCATAATTACTGCGCTTTCCTGTGAGGAACTTAAGTAAATCTAATTAACTTCCACCTACACTACTGCATTTACACGACGAAAAACGTAAAATTACCTACTTTATAGCGAAATGGTATAAGACGGATGGCAGTGATTACAATGAATTGAACCGCCACACTACAACGTGCCATCTCTTATAGTCACAGAGGGGGCATCATATAAGAAGTTCACGGCTCCATGGTATTTACGCGCCTGTAGTGGATAGGACACATACACCGCTCACCGAGATTGGATGAATAACAACACGTTCGAGCATTAACAAAATTTCTACTATCCGAAACTGAACGTATTTTATGAAACTGATGAGACTAAATGACGATCAAACATTGTGCAAAAGTCCAGCACATAGCGGAGATCTTCTCACACATCGCTGATTCCTCTGAACAGTGGAGAGCACATATGTTACCGTTTACATTATTCTACGTAATAGACGTAATCATGGATTTAGATTTGCTGTACCAGGGCATCTTTCATTCTTCTTTAGTACAGTCAGCAAACTAAGATGCTCCTTTGTAATCAAAATCTGAAGCGATCTATAAGCTCCTGAAAGGTGATAATCGAACGCGTTTAATTACACTGAACATCAGACTGCCAATCAATTAATTTCATCACCAAAAGCAGAAGAGGCATCGGAATCAAATAAAAGCCACTGGTTCTATAATAAGTATAGCTTTTAACATAATTCATAATAATTAAATGCCATATGAGAACGTTCTGCCTTTTTTCTGATAAGCTTACCTAACAATAAAGCTACGGACCGATTTTTCGACATGTCTGCTCAAGGAACTGGTGCCATCATTTTAAAGCAGTGGTAACTGAGAGACGTACCCTGCGTTGGATTAAATCTTCGATTCACAGTGGAGAGGCTATTCCACAATTAATATCTGACAATAACAGGTTATTCCACAATTAGTATCTGACAGTATCAAGTGAGGTCATGTTTTGCCAAAAGTATATCTGGCATTACATACTATTTCAAGCCGTATTCTTAGAATTTATTGCGGTAAAGTGCTGAAACTGATCAGTTCATCAATTCTCAGGACTTTTCTATAAAGCAAGCGCCGTGTTTTCGCCTTGTAATATTATATACTCCACATCACCACCGTTCGTCTAATGGCAAGGCTGGAAATATTGCTCTTGGAACTGCTGCTGGGGTGAAGATCTGAAAGTGGCTCAGGTATTCCGCAGGTAGGTTGGGACGATAGTTACCCGCCACCGGCCGATGATATCTGTCTGTGACCAAAGCCTCACAAAGTTCTTCAATTCCTTGAATCCGGTGGGCTGCGTGACGGTTCAGGAGACATCGGCAGCAAATCAGAGCTGCACCTCGAATGAACTGCAAAACAACCACTTATCTAAAATGCTCGAGAATACAAAAGATCAGGAGGAGGAGCATCGACCTGTGTTAGTGGCGCGTCCACGACGAGGATAAGTCGGATGAAGGATGCTTTTAGAAGAGAAGCACCGTGCGCCAAATTCATCCTTTTACGAAAGTTGCAACAACCCATGCACTAGATTTTCCGAACGCTTCGAATGGTTAGCGCATTTCTACTGTTATGAGTAAACATTTTCCCTGAAATTCGCCACGGGTCAGACGACCAAAATTAGGTCAGTCTCATATTCGTGCCACTTTTATGCAAAAATATTTCATGGCATATGGCCAGTCTTGTTGCATAAAATTATGGCCAATCTTGTTATAAAAGTTTTGACAGTTCGCCATATTTATGTTTACAATCTGGTGAATAATGGGCATGACCGTTACAACGAGCAATTTGCTCCTTTCACCGACGAGTGACAATAAAATTGCTCACTGTCAGTGTAGCAAGTACAGAAAACGAAAATGTACATACTTGGCGCATACTCTGCAGTAATGCAGGAAGACATTGATGACCACTGCAGCTCGGTTAGAACCCCCTTTCTCGTGGATGACAGCGACGTTGTGCGGACTGCGTGCCAGCCATTGGTCAATCTCTTTGCACAACGAACATACCCGTTGCAACGGTGGAGCCATGTTCGGTGGCCAGCCAAACTCAACCACGTCTTGGTTCAGCTTCATGAGATCGTCACGCGGTCTGGACACGTTGAAAATCTAAAATGCCATTAGTCTCATGAGCAAAGATGGGCAAAGTCTATAAAAGGAAGCAAAGTTTGTTGTACGACAGTGTTAAAAGCTACGATGAACTTTCTAATTTCGCTCAGTTTGAGAGGTAC